TAAATTAAAATTAAATTAAAATTAAATTAAAATTAAATTAAAATTAAATTAAAATTAAATTAAAATTAAATTAAAATTAAATTAAAATTAAATTAAAATTAAATTAAAATTAAATTAAAATTAAATTAAATAAAATTAAATTAAATTCAATTAAATTAAAATGAAGTTAAGTTAAGTTAAATTAAATTAAAATTATATTAAAATTAAATTAAATTAAAATTAAATTAAAATTAAATTAAAATTAATTAAATAAATTAAATTAAATTAAATAAATTAAATTAAATTAAAATTAAATTAAAATTAAATTAAAATTAAATTAAAATTAAATTAAAATTAAATTAAAATTAAATTAAAATTAAATTAAAATTAAATTAAAATTAAATTAAAATTAAATAATAATAAAAAATAAAAATATAAAATAAAAAAATAAAAAAACTAAAATTAAATTAAAATTAAATTAAATTAAAATTAAATTAAAGTTAAATTAATATTAAATTAAAATTAAATTAAATTAAATTAAATTAAATTAAAATTAAACTAAAATTAAATAAAAATTAAATTAAAATTAAAATTTAATTTAATTAAAATTAACATTATAACTAAAACTAAAATAAATTAAAATTAAACTAAAATTAAATTAACACGAAAACGAAAATAGAATTAAATTACATTTAAATTAAAATTAAATTAAAAATAAATTAAAATTAAATTAAAATTAAATTAAAATTAAATTAAAATTAACATTAAAAAATTAACATTATAACTAAATTTAAAATAAATTAAAACTAAATTAAAAATAAATGTAATTAAAATTAACATTAACATTATAACTAAAATTAAATTAAAATTAAATAAAATTAAATTAAATTAAAATTAAATTAAAATTAAATTAAAATTAAATTAAAATTAAATTAAAATTAAATTAAAATTAAATTAAAATTAAATTAAAATTAAATTAAAATTAAAATTAAATTAAAATTAAGTTAAAATTAACCTTAAAATTAACATTAAAAAATTAACATTAAAAAGTTATCATTATAACAAAATTTAAAATAAATTAAAACTAAATGAAAATTAAATTAAAAATAAATGTAAATAAAATTAACATTAACATTATAACTAAAATTAAATTATAATTAAATAAAATTAAATTCAAATTTAAATTAAGTTAATATTAAATTAATTTAAAATTTAAAAATGAAAATAAATAAAACTTAAATTAAATAAAAAATAATTAATTTTCGTCATCAATCAATTACCGTCTTGACTTAAATACTTGCACTTTATTCATTCTGTAAATTCATAACCTTTAAATGCTGGAATTCACCTCATAACGGACCACTCAAAAGGATTGTAAATGTTTTTTTAGTTAAATTACATTTTAGTTTCCATTTAGCAATTCCAATTTTATGGAGTATTCTAAAAATTCTATAAAAAAATACCTTATTTTTATCCTTTGGTCATTCCAGCGCCTTGGATATCGGACTTTATAACTAATTCTGTAAGAGTCAAACATTTTTTAAAAGTTCCATTTGTCAAACCTTTTACCCGATCAACAATAAAAAATTATTAAATAAAAAAAAAATACTTGGAGATGCGGGGCATCGATCCCCGTACCTCTCACATGCTAAGCGAGCGCTCTACCATCTGAGCTACATCCCCATGTCTGTTTTCGTTGACAAAATATCAGCTGTTGCAACATAAAGTAAGAAATGCGATAACAAAAATTTACACTGACGTTCACAAATGTTGAAATTGAAGCCAACAGTGGCACGTACATTTGCACATATGTGCGTGTGTATATACTTGATTAACTAAATAAATATATAAATACTCATGTTACATATATAATAAATCTAACCTAGTTTATTTAACATATGCATATTTTTATTTGTGGCCATGGTAGACGCTTGGGAACATTAATATGTCAAAATTTTTAAAAAGTTTCTTTTTTTTCAAAAATAATTAGATTTTTTTAGGTTTTCTTATACAACCCCAATCGGAGGTTATGATACTCATTTTTTAACCATTTTTAAAAGTTTGAATACTTTTTCATTAATAATTTCCATTTTCAAAATTGAATTGACAGTTCATTGTCCCAGCAGCTGTGTCGATGCGACTACCTGGTTTCTTCTACCATGGCTGTGGCTTATAACTACAATAAAATGGGGGACTAAAGAATACAATGTTAAAAATTATATATAAATATATACCAGACCTGAAAAGCTCTTAGTAAAATCAGGCATAAAAAATGGATTTATCCGAAAATATTTTAATGATTTCTTTAACCAAGATTGGCTACCAAACTATCCCCTTTAATGATAATATATCATTTATTTGACATATATTTTAATTGACTATATAAATGAAGTGTTTTATATTAAAAGCCGTTTTATATTTTTTATTATATATTCTCCAACATTTTATTTGATTTTATATAATCCATTTAATTCACACAGATTTGAAGAAAAACTTCCCCGCCTTTGCAAAAACCCCTTCTCATTTGTTGGCTGACATTTTATTTCTGGACATATCTCTCTCTCCTTCACTCTCTCTCTCTCTCACACAACCATAAAAACACACAGGTGAACTGGTTGATAATCATGGAGATGCGGGGCATCGATCCCCGTACCTCTCACATGCTAAGCGAGCGCTCTACCATCTGAGCTACATCCCCACACAAATGTTCTGAAAAGTAGACCATTCAAGGCGGCAAGGACACAATATTACATACCCATAAGAAGGGAAGGCAAGCAATAACCTATTGTCCTTCCTTTGAAGTTAAAATTGGTATAAATAGCCCGCTCTTATGAACAGCAACAACAACAGAGTAAGTAATTGTATTATGATGTGGCGCATTCTATTTATAACATGTAGGCAACATTGTTATTTTTCCAACAACGTCAAGCACTGTTAGGTCGTTAGTATGGAAGTTAATAAAATGTTGCCTACTTTTAGGCTGCTTGAAGTAAAATATTATTTTCATCAGAGATGAAATTTCAGTTAAGACAACATTTACATTCGAGCCCTTTATTATAATTGTCCATGCATTTTATCGTGGCAGTAGAATAATGCATGGTAGAAAAATACAGGTAGATGCATCACGTCGCTTGGGAACACTAAAATGTAAAAAACAAGTAAAATATTATCAGTCGGTTTTGCCGACAGATGTAATCCCCAGCCTTGGTTTATGATTATCATGGTAGAAGAATATAGGTAGACGCGTCGACACAGCTGCTGGGACAATGAACTGTCAAACCACTTTTGGATTTGAAAATGTTGAATGAAACATTATTTAAATTTGTTAAAATTGTTTAAAAACGCGAATTATAATAGCCTCCGACTGACGTAGTATAAGAAAACATATACAAATCTACTTATATTAAAAAAAAAAAAACATTTACAATTTTTTGACATATCAATTTTCCCAAGCGTTGATGCATCTACCTGTATTCTTCTGCCATGATTATTATTCAGACTGTCGACCCTTTATGGGGGGAGGGTTCCGAAGCAGTTGGCCAATATTTACGAAGGTACGAAAAGAAATGGTCCGATCTCTACCCTTCTTATAAAAGATCTTGTCTTGATGGAGATATTTAAATGTACCAAGTCGAAATGGAATCGGATGTTAAATTTGTGTTTTATTGGCTTCATAGATATTCACAATTTTAACCCTTTGTGGAGGAGGTACCAGAAGGAGTGATTCGATATATCCCATCTTCACAGCAGATCTTGTGTTAGTAGAAATATTGGGATGTGTAAAAGTATAAAATAACAGGATGCATATTTCGTATTTTTTCGTATTTTATAAATTTTTTGGGTTTTCAAAACTATGGCCCTTTGTGGTGGAGGTACAAAAAGAAATGGTCCGATCTCTACCCTTTTTATAACAGATCTTGTATTGATGGAGATATTGAAATGTACCAAGTCTGAATGGAATCGGATGTTAAATTTGCTTTTTATGGGCTTCATACAATTTTAACCCTTTGTGGGGGAGGTACCAGAAGGAGTAAATCGATATATTCCATCTCCACATCAGAACTTGGTTTAATAAAATTGTTATGATCTGTATAATTTGATGAGAACCGCATGAATTTTTCGGAATTTATGATCAAAATTTTAATTCTTTATGGGCGAGGTATGAGAACGAATGGTCTGATCTCTACTTTTTTCTAACAGATCTTGGGTTGATAGATATATTGAGATGTGCCAAGTCTGAATGGAATCGGGTATTAATTTCGTGTTTTCTGAGCTTCATGAATATTCAAAATTTTCACCCTTTGGGGGGGGGGGTATCTGAAGGATGGGGCCGATATATTCCATCTAAACACCAGACCTTTGGTTAATATAAATATTGTGGTGTGTGTGTAATTCGAAGACAATCGAACGTTTGCATCACCTTTTATAAGAGTTATAATTATTCAAAATGTTTTACCTTTTGTGGGGGTGGTACTTGATAGAGTGAATCGATATTGTCCATTTTCGCACATGACCTAGCACTGATGTAAATATAAAGATTTGCAAAGTTGGAGCAAAATTGGATTATCCTTCCAGAAGGAGTGAACCGATATTGACCATTTCCGAACTCGATTTAAGTTTGACAATAATATTACGATGTACCAAGTTTGGATTAAATCGTATACTTCTTTCAATATTTTTCATGCGCACCAGCCAGCCAAACATTTTTTCAACAAAAGCGCAAAATCTTCAAAATAACGCTAAATACGCAACACTAACGGTTGGCATAAACAAAGCACGAATGGAGGTTTTTTTGTTTGAAATTATTACCTTAATTTTCTGTGCTTTGTTTTTTAGCCTTTTTTCGTTTTTTTTTTTATTTTCAATAATATATTTTTTAAGTTTTCATCTATTAAACACTTGCAAAACACAAATTGGTCTCTCACAATTACAGCTGGTAATCACAATCGATGGCGCCATTGTACGTTTTGACAGATGAGTGTTATCGATAACAACGTTTAAATGGCGCTATCGGTTGTGTTTACCAGCTGTAGTTGTGATAGGCCAATTTGTGTTTTGCAAGCGAATTTTGATTTTTTATATATAAAAATAAGAAAAAATAAAAGTTTAATAGATTGAAATTTCAGAAATATTAATAGGAAAAGAGAAAAAACGAAATTGCAGTGTTCAGCGCGTGTGAAGTGAGTGAAAAAGAGCGTAAAAATACCACCGAGTGTTGTTTAAAACGAAAGAAGCTAAAAGTCCAATCAGAGTTGACACAATGGAGGAGTGATAAAGTATTGGTGGTCTTCCCTGTGAAAGAAAAGTTCTTTATAAGGTCAAAAAGTGGTTCCCAATTCTCTCCCGTTACAATGTTTATGGACACACCAAAATTGCAACCAATTTCCAAAAGTAAACCGAAACCAAGTGAAAATGTGCCTTCTAGCAGCAGCAGCAGTAGTAGTGGTAGTAGTGTTAACAGCACCAACAACAGTAATAACAACAACAGTGGCGGCAGTGGAGGCGGCTCCAACAACACCAGCCGTAACAATAATAACACCACCGGCAGTGGCAATAACAAAAACCCTTTTGTCTCATCTATGCCAACAGCAACAACGGACGATAACAACCGTGCCAATGGCGGTAGCGGTGGCAGCGCAGGCGGAGGAGAGTAAGTTTTTGTTTTGATTTGTTAATTTAATTTCATTTTTATTTTGTTTATGTTCTTATTTGCTTATCTTTCTTTTATGTTTATATACGCTACTATGGCTGGGGAAAAAAGTGTTAACTCTAAGATTAGAATTTATGGGTAAATCCAAGACCACCACCAAAATCTTTTTGACCTCTAAATGGTCCACTGGTGTGCTGACTTCCAAAGGCATTTAAATTCAACGACGAGGCCTGATTGGGCGAAGTCCACAAATTAGCCGTTGCATTGGCATTGACAGTTTTAATATCGAATTTGGGTATTTGTGCTACTCCCAAACTGGCCGAATGTCCATTGGCATGAGACCAGGCTGCATTGGCTCCCACAGAATCGAATTTCAAACCATTTTGCATTTGTGTGCGTCCATGGAAGGCATTCAAGTCTACCGAGTGGTTGTCACTCTTGAAGGCATTTATGCGTAGATTTTCTGATGTTGACTTGCTAATGCCATGGGTATTGGCATGTTGAACGGTTAGGCCATGGCCATTGCTACAAAGGGAAATTGGAAGCATGATATTATGTTTATTTTGCCCAGAAATGCGATTTTAATACACTTACGAACTAATTTCACCAAAAGCTCCTGTAGTCACTGGTCCATGTTTATTATTGCCACTGGCAAAGACACCAGCTGCAGCTCCCAATCCTTCATTACCCACTTTAGCCATGGCATTGACATTAATATCATTGCCACCTTTGGGATTTGTTGTTGCTGAACCACCAATATCCATGTTTTCAAAAATTTGGTATATCTTTTTCCAATTATTTGAAATTTTTAATCTTTCTTGTTTTGCCCTTAGCCTTTCTTGTGCTAAATGAAAACTGTAACGGTTTAGCTTTTAATTCAACAATTTATACCATCTTCAAGTTGATTGCAAAGTAAATCCCCTTTAGAGGTTACTCATCTTTAATCGCAACAATAGGGGACATTTTTGGTCTGCAGTAAATTAAAAAAAAGACAGAAATCTAAAAGTAAAACGAAACAAAACGACACTTCCCCTTTCAAAATGTATATATATCTTGCGGAGCTGGTTTCATCAGTACTTCCCCCTTAAAATGTTGGCCAATGAAAGTACATTTACCCCCCTAAGCACACACTCAATAAAAATTAGTCAATTGGTATAGTCACTCGCTGTCGACATTCCATAGGGGATTTCCCCCCATTTTTGCCGGTATATTAGAAATGAAGCATAAGTTTTATTCAGATTTATGTTTATTATATAATTTATATTTACAGCATATCCAAACTGACCTTTCCTAAAAGGGTTCATATGCATGCAGGAAACAAGTTTTGCTATACAGCGGCTTAAAATAGTTACTAAATTGTCGACAACAAATATTTGCCAATTATGGCACTTAATTGCATTTCCTTTTGTGGACACCATTATCCATTGCAGTGGATAACTGCAACAGGTTGCGACTCGCCACATAAAATATCTGTTGTTCAGTTGAGTCGAAAAGCCTTACCATTTGTTTCAATTGGAAAAATATCGCACCAGTTTAGTTAGAATCGGGTTTCAGTCAATTTTTGAATTTGATTGCAAAATCTACGCATAACTGAAAATATATCGGATGATGGAAATGGAGTTGTGGTATTGAAAATTGTAATAATTCGGGAAACAAATATCTTCCCACCTTTCTATGGGTCCACTAAGATCTTCTCTGGCTAACGGATAACGGAAATTGGGTAATATTGTTTTTAAATATAGCAGCGGCAACCAAACGGAGAGGATATATTTTTTTGCATTAGCCTGAAGGCAGGACCTTTTCTTTTTCAATAATCCAGAACATATCAAAGTCGAAACTTTTTATGATCGACTAATTGTATCCTCAGAGATGTACAGTTTTATTCAAAAGCGTGAATAACTTTATCCTGGAATTTTATCTACAGACGTGGATTATTTTATCCACAGAAGTGCAAAATTTTGACTTGGAATTTTATCCACCGATGTAGATATTTTTATCCAAAAAGGTGGATAATTTTATCCGCAGCCGTGGATAAGTTTATCCACAGACATAGATAATTTTATCCAATGACGTGGATATTTTTATCCAATGATGAGGATAATTTTATCCAGAGACGTGAATAATTTTATACTGGATTTTATCCGAATTCTTGGATAATTTTATTTAATAACGTGGATAATTTTATCCAGAAACGTGGATAATTTTATGCACGGACTTAGATAATTTCATTCACAGACGTGGCTAATTTTATCCACAGACGTGGATAATTTTATCCACAGACGTGGATAATTTTTTCCACAGACGTGGATAATTTTAACCAAAGACATGGATAATTTCATCCACAGACGTGTATAATTTCATCCACAGACGTGGATAATTTTATCCAAAAACGTGGATAATTTTATCCAAAGACGTGGATAATTTGATCCATAGACTTGGATAATTTTATCCATAGAGGTGGATAATTTTATCCACAGACGTGGATAATTTTATCCACAGACGTGGATAATTTTATCCACAGACGTGGCTAATTTTATCCACAGACGTGGATAATTTTATCCACAGACGTGGATAATTTTATCCGAAGTCATGGATAATTTTACCCTGGAATTTTATCCACAGACGTGGATAATTTTATCCGAAGTCATGGATAATTTTACCCTGGAATTTTATCCACAGACGTGGATAATTTTATCCGAAGTCATGGATAATTTTACCCTGGAATTTTATCCAGAGACGTGGATAATTTTATCCAGAGACGTGGATAATTTTATCCGAAGTTGTGGATAATTTTACCCTGGAATTTTATCCGAAGTCGTGGATAATTTTATCCACGGACGTGGATAATTTTATCCACAGACGTGGTTAATTTTATCCACAAATGTGGATAATTTTATCCACGGACGTGAATAATTTTATCCATAGAAGTGGATATTTTTATCCACAGACGTGGATGATTTTATCCACGGACGTAGATAATTTTATACACAGACGTGGCTCATTTTATCCAAAGACGTCTATAATCTTATCCAAAGACGTGGATAATTTTATCCACAGTCGTGGATATTATTATCACAGACGTGGATAATTTTATCCAAAGACGTCTATAATCTTATCCAAAGACGTGGCTCATTTTATCCAAAGCCTTGGATAATTTTATGCAAAGACGTGGATAGTTTTATCCAAAGACGTCTATAATTGTATCCACAGACGAGGATAATATAATCCAAAGACGTAGATAATTTTATCCACAGACGTGGATAATTTTATCCAAAAATATGGATAGTTTTATCCACAGACGTGGATACTTTTATCCACAGACCTGGGTAATTTTATCCATAGACGTCTATAATTTTATCCAAAGACGTCTATAACTTTATCCAAAGACGTGGATAATTTTATCCACAGACGTGGATAATTTCATCCACAGACGTGGATAATTTCATCCACAGACGTGGATAATTTTATACACAGACGTGTCCAGAGACGTGGATAATTTTATCCACAGACTTGGATAATTTTATCCACAGACGTGGATAATTTTATCCAAAGACGTGGATAATTTTATCCAAATACATGGATAATTTTATCCACAGACGTGGATAATTTTATCCAAAGACGTGGATAATTTTATCCAAAGACGTGGATAATTTTATCCACAGACCTGGATAATTTTATTCACAGACGTGGATAATTTTATCCACAGACGTGGATAATTTTTTATCCACAGACGTGGATGATTTTATCCACAGACGTGGATAATTTTTTATCCACAGACGTGGATAATTTTATCCACAGACGTGGATAATTTTTTCCACAGACGTGGATAATTTTTTCCACAGACGTGGATAATTTTTTCCACAGACGTGGATAATTTTTTTCACAGACGTGGATAATTTTATCCATAGACGTCCAAAGACGAGGATAATTTTATCCAAAGACGAGGATAATTTTATCCACAGACCTGGATAATTTTATCCACAGATGTGGATAATTTTATCCACAGACTTGGATAATTTTATCCACAGACCTGGATAATTTTATCCACAGATGTGGATAATTTTATCCACAGACTTGGATAATTTTATCCACAGACGTGGATAGTTTTATCCAAAGACGAGGATAATTTTGTCCACAAATGTGTATAATTTTATCTTGGAATTTTATCCGAAGTCGTGGATAATTTTATCCAAAGAAATGCATAATTAATTCGCAGGCGTAGATAATTTTATCCACAGACGCGGATATTTTTGTTCAAAGAAGTGGATAATTTCACCAAAAAACTTGGATAATTTTCATTTCCCTTAATCAGGTGTGGATAATGTTTTCCCCCATTTCCTCACCTGCCTCGTAGTTTTCTTGTCTTCTTCATTCCTCATATCCTCTCTTTAAAAACCAACCATGCTCTCACAATTGAGATCTTTGATGAGTGTGTGCCGTGTGACTCTTCCGAACATATGTTAATTTCGAAAAACAAAATATACCTACAACAACAACAAAAAAGCAACGACAACAAACCAATTTCCTTCTCAAATCTAAAAATACATATATTTGGATATTCGAAATGAATGTTTTCTTCACCTACCATCCTCCTCCTCCTCTTCGTGGTAGCCAAACGCATTTCGAGGAGACAGTAGCCAGACAGCAAATAGATCTTTTCAGTAGCTGAGTAGATCTTTCTCCCACCTCCCATTAGATTTGCGAAAGGGGCAAGACATTTTTTTTGAAAAGAAAATTCGTTTTTCCCCAATACTCTTTGGGAACACTCGTTAGTTGCAGAAGTCATCTCCGCGGATCGGTGTGTCGTTCTTTTTTTGTTCGAGTGGTGGGGATGTAGAGAAAATTATATCGTTTTCAGAAAAAAAGTGTGAAAAATAATTGTTTGAAAAAAAAATTAAAGAAAAAAAATTTGGAAAACAAATATTTTTGTGTGACGGAAAAATAGCGAAAGTGAGCGAAAAATAGCAACGTAGAAACGTGTTGACGAAAAAAAAAAAAGAAAAAAAAAAAAATAACTAAAAAATTTTATGTGAAATATATATACCATACACATATATATGAGTGTATATGCATGTCGAAATAAATAAAAAGAAATTTCTTGAAAAGTAAAAAATTTAAAAAAAAAATATTTCAAATAAAATTAATTGTGAAATTGAAATATAATTTCGGATTCTGCCACATTGTTGCTGCTCACTGCTCGAGAAATTGAAATTGGTAATTACAAACAATCATTTTTATATTCCTGTCCAGTTTCAATAATTTTTACAATAATCAATTGGGTTTTGAAAGACGATTTTTCTTTGGCCCAAAATACCTTCATATATACATATATATATGTACCTATCTATATATATCTATGAATACTCAAATCTACAAAAAAATGTCCCTGTGTGTGAAACGAAAAAAAAAACAGAAAATGCTATGACTAATTTTCAATAACAAATTTATTATTTTATGGTCTTTTTTCATTTATCAAATCTGTTTTTGAATATTTATATGAAATTTCTTTTTTTTTCAAAAATTCTAGTTTCGAGTGAAATTGCTACCTTTCCTACCACCACCATTGATTTCCTTTGAATTTTTGAATACGTTTCATTTTATTTGTGTATCTTTCTTTCCTATCTCGTTCTCTATTCGCATATCAGATTGTGTGAAATGTTGGTGTGTCTATTTTTTGTGATTTTAATACAATACTCGAATATATGTATCAAATTCAAAATTCTATATCTGTGCAGCAAATGTTGTATTTTTTCAAATCTCCCAAAAACAATATTAAAACAAATTTTATTGTCATTTTTTGAATTTTTTAAAATGTTTATGCGTTTTTCCACAATTTTCCATTTGCATGCCTGATTTTGAATAATCT